TAATTATTTAATTTAATTGTTTTGATTATTATTTTCCTTGAAGTTACTAACGCGTGTATTTTGTTATTAGAAAGAGGTACGAGGCATACAAGTAAGTACTTTAGTGATTTTTATTGATGTTATTATGTAGAAATCATGCTTAAGTTGTTATTTTGATTTCTAGTATCATGCATAGGGTAATTTTAATATCAAGTATGATTAAAAGTATGATGCTTCTTATGTTATTCCTAATATTTATGATTGTTAGTATCATGTTAGGGCTAAATATTTGATTTTTATTGCTTAGTGACATGGTAGGGTTTGTTATTAATCTTGTTAGTATCATGCCTAGGATCTTGCTATGCTTTAACATGATTATGATTATTTTCATTATTATTATTATTATTATTATTATTATTATTATTATTATTATTATTATTATTATTATCTCAAAAACAAAAGCCATACAACCTACAATAAATTAGTGGGAAGCCGAGATACAATCTGGGCCCCCACTCCTCTAGCTATTGCAAATCCTACCCTAGTGAAGATATGATTAATATAATTATTGTTATTATTATTTATTATGTTGATTGATATTTATTTATTGTTATTGTTTGATCACACCTTTTATGCATGTTTAAAGGGAATTGGTACTTGTAATCACGCTTAATGAGATAATTAATAATCTTGTTTAGGGTTAATTACGATTATAATTCAAGTGATCGCCAATAATAGATTTATTTGTACATTAATATTCAACCAACATAGATAAACAGGTTTAGGGTAACCCTATTGATTGCATGTTAGTCAGAAAGCGCACATGAATACGATCAGAATAAAACAGAGGCCTATTATTAGAGCAGGTTCAATCTCTTTTAGGTTGGATTTGTACCTTCATCCCCGAACCCTATTTGGTTCATGACCTTATGGAGTTGACGATCTCTTGGATCGTTAAGGGGTGTAACCTTCACCTCGTGAACGGTTTACAAGTTCCTGAAAAAACTTGTTGGCGACTCTTTTGCTCTATCTTCTTTCCCTTTGGACGCCACCATACTTTAGTGTATGATCACAGTGGGGTTCAAGCTAGAGGATTAACGCTTGAAATATTCCCTACATATACTGTTATTAAAAGGAGAGACTACTTTTTTACAACATGATAAGTAGTACACAAAATTACATTTTTGCCCCTGGTATAAGTCTATGGACCCAACGAGCCCATACTTGGTACTGGTCTATCACTACTCGTAATTGACTTCTTCATTTACACTTTGTATTAGCATAAGCATAAGATGTCGTATAATTTCCTAATAAGTGAGAAATTGACATAAGATGTACTCGTACTTGATAGTCCATACCTATAATTCTCTAAATCACCAGTGAATATATGGAATACATTGATGTACCTCATCTTATAATTACAACTAGTTTATATTTGTGCTAATGCACTTGAAATATATAATACAGATTACAAATAATGTCTCTTTTCTTACCGAAACAAACAATGTCTTTGTTTTAGAATAATTGACACAATTTGATTTTTGGCAATACTAACCTATTGCCATTTTTTTTATAACTAGGGCAGTGCTACGCGCGCGTTGCGCGCAAAGCAATTTGGTGTTGCTAGTGTGCGAGACCGGAGGTGTAATTTTTTTTTTGGCTAATTTGTAGTTTTTGTTTAGGTAATTATGAACAAATGTATATTAATTAGTGAATTTACATGTTGATAAATTGAATTGTATTAAAAAAAATTTTTTTACCCCATTGCAAACTATTGCGTCAAACTTTATAACTATTGGTTCTAAATTCTCATTAGTCTATAAAAGATAATATAGTTAAGTGAAATCTTATTGGATTTGCCTCATTGTATATTTTTTAATATTAAGTTTTTATAATTTTTACGCATATAGATTTTGAGTTATATACATCATAAGACATGTATTAGAGATCGTGAAAAGTCAAATGAGAAAAAAAAAAAATGGACAGAGGGTGTAAAATACATTGCTTTCATGTAGATGTCTTGTATGTCCTGGTGTTGTGAAATTCCGCGGTGTCCCGGAGTAAAATGTAGTGCAAGTAAAATGTATTGCTTTCAATTTCATATAAATGTCCGGTAGAATTCTGATGTTGTTATTATTTGGGTCGCATGCGATAATTCTGTTGTATTTTATGAAAAATGTCAGTATTGCCCCTAACTTTTTAGATGAAAGTACATTCAAACCCCTCGATAAACAATGATCATTTCTCACTGTAACAAACATGAATTTGCTCCTCAATTTAGAGGCCAGACAAACATTCTCCATAACACTTCAAAATCCAAACATAAATACTCCCAAAATTCAGTTATTTCAAAAAGCATACACAAAACCAGAAATTTCACTTCAAATTCACTTCGTAACATTCAAAGCTTTAATAACTCAAAATACAGAAAAAATCACCAGAAATCTATATATGCACTCAATTAAAATCCAGAAAATTCAACGAAAAATTGAAAAGAGTGAGGAAATGGTACCTCAGCAGCGAGAAACACAAGGATAGCAGAAACATACATAAGATAACTAGAACCGACCCTCTAAGCATCAATTTTTTTCATTTTCACATCTTTTGGCAATCACTATATGAAAAATGTCTTCCCCTGCTGAGAGTTCAACAAAATATTTCATCAAAAAGCAAGTTAAAGCCCTAAAAATCAAGAAAATGTGCAAAAAACTAACATATCATAGAGGCATTTGTCGAGAGGAGGCGGTAGTAGCATGGGGAAAACAGGATAAGGCAGCGGAGGCGGAATAACGGGAGCATGTGCAAAATATTTAAGTTGAATTCCTAGATTCGAATTTGACCCAAATTTTGTAATATCCCAAAACCCAAAATTCAAAGTCACCTGAAACATTGGTTCTTCGACGATCATCGGACTTCCGCCATGAAAGATTTGGTGAAAATTTTTCACGAACTATCTCTCTACTTCCACCACTACGATATTTTCCGATCAATCTTGGTTCTTCAGATGTGGCTCTCCTCTTGAATTTTTGGATCACACCATTGAGGTAGTTGGAAATGATGTTAAGTTTATTAGAATTCAGAAGGTGAAGATTCATTTGTTGGCAATGCAAGTCTTATTTGTGAACATCATTGATCAGGGAAGAGAAGAAAATTGTAAAAAACAAAGTGGCTAATTTCTAGGTAAAAAGCAAGGTTGCATGCAGTGGCGGAGCCACAGTATGTCCTGGTAGGGCACGTGCCCTGCCAGGTTTTTTTTTTTTTTTAAAAAAAGTTTGTCTAAATTTTGTTTAAATAGAATATAAAGTGCATTATTATGTTATAACTTACTAGTAGCCTAGTGGGTAGAGCTTTACCTTTTCAATCAAAGGTCATGGGTTCTAATCTCTTGCCCAACATTTTTGTTATTTTTTTCCATCTCATTGTTTATTCTTCTTAATATCCCCCACCCCCTCCCCCCTTTTTTTTTCTTTTCTTTTCTCTTAATGTCCTTTTTATCCAATTTCCTAAATAACACAAAAACTTACTAACATAAAAGTTTGATCACTTGGGCAAGATTACTTTTCTACCTAAGATAATGAAATTGATGATATAATAATATGCTTTCAAAACTTGAAAACTATTCAAGTTTAATTTTAACATTTCTTTTTACATATACTAGTATACTTGAATTATTAGTTATAAATCCTTATAATTAGTATTTTGGATAATCCTATTTGATCACATGTTCCCTACACATGTGGGCACTATTCATAAGGGGAACAAGTGAAACTTTTTAAGGGTTGAGAATTAATATATATATCTTATATGTAATTAGGTTAAATGTTAATAAATTGATACAAGTACTATTATACTTTCATAACACAAGTAACTCATTAATGTTTGCTCTTTTGCTTTGCATACTTTGTGAAAATCTCAAATTTCTTTTACATTTTCGGATCTTTTACCAAATTTAGCCATATTATTACAAAATATTGCCTTGGAATTTTTTTTTTCCTTATTTATTTATTTATTTTTTGTCATGTAAACAGCTAGTTTTTTTTAATAAATAATTGGGTTTCAATTTTAAGTCATAATTTTGATTATAGCCGCACAACATTACAAATTCCCATTACTCCCATTATACCTTTGCATCTAATTTCGCACTATAGAATTGTTCACTCTTTTTTTGTTTGTTTTGTTTATATGATTGAATGGTTGTAGGTTTGTTTCATCTAACACCAATTTTTAGAATTGTTCTATCCTAGCAACTGAAATCATAGACGATCGATAACAGAAAATTTTCTTAGGATCATTCTCATGTTTATTAAAGAGTATATTTATAAGTATTATTTATACGTGAATGGATAACTGAAATTACATTATCATAAATTTTCTTTGGATCATTATGATGTTGTAGGTCTATGATGCATAATATAATTTTTTTTTTTTTTTTTTTTTTTTTTTTTTTTTTTTTTTTTCTCAAATTGAATTGAGCATAACACAATAGTTAGAAACTCTGAATTGTTTATTTTTAAGTGATTAATGCTAAAAATATTGCATATATGTTGATGTAAATTTTGCTAGAAATTTTTACAAGATTTGAATGATTAAAAGTTTGGAACAGGGGTGCTTATATCTGAATAATCTGATTGTATTTCAGTTCATTTAGGAAAAAAAAAAAAAAAAAAAAAAAACCTTCCAAGTTATTATTTTGTTAATATTTTAGCCATTTTGGTAATTAGTTTTGCTAAAGTAGCTAATTCAGTAAAAGATCCTACATTTTCACCACAAAGTAGCTGAATTCATCAAGATTTGTTATCAGTTTGTGTAATTTGATTGCAAAATTCGGTATCATCTAACTATAGGTAATATCCTGGGATCAATAAAATGGTTTAAAATATTACAAGTTGCAATCCTTCTCTCCACAACTGTAAAAGGAAGTTGATTGTTTTTGGTAGTACAGCACACATAAGGTGCAAAAATGAAGTTCTACATTTTATACATATTCTATGAAGTCTTTTAACACCCACAAACTATACAAATATAAGATAAAAACAGCAATCTTATTTGCATTACATTGAAGAAATTAAAGAACAATGACAAATCATCCAGATTCCTGTGATATAAGTAGCAAAAACAAGTTAATTAAGAGAGGATTTACACAAGTTGTTGAACAGGAACATGAGAATCACCTTCCATTTATGCTAGAGAACGTGCTAAGCATGCCTCCGCTATAAGAATGCTCATTGGTAAAGGATGGAGAAGGCGCTGGCCAGACAAAGGCAGGCTTCTCTGAGGAGACTGTTGGTAGAATTGCTTCACCTAACAGAACCTGCAGAACATATCCCATAGACGGCCTCATGTTTGGGTTCGGATGGCAGCAAGCCAACCCCAATACAAGCATCTGCTTCGCCTGCCTCTCATCATAACTTCCCTTCAATTTAGGGTCTATAGCATCAGTTACAGAATCCAATGAATTAAGTTCCCACACCCAGTCTATAATGCAGGTGCTGCTCTCACTCAGCTCATCTTGAATTCCCGGTTTTTTTCCTGTGGCCAATACTAATGCCAGAACACCAAAGGCGAAAACATCTGTTTCTGTGGTTGCTTTTCCTGTCAGGAAGAGTTCTGGAGCCATGTACCCTGGTGTTCCTGCAATTTCCTTGGTAGAATGATGAGTCTTCTCACTAAGCTTAAACATCCGAGCCAGTCCAAAGTCTCCGAGCCTAGCATTAAATTCTGCATCCAACATTATGTTGCTGGCTTTAATGTCCCGGTGTAGTACTCTTTTCAAGCACTCGTTGTGTAGATAATCCAAAGCTTGAGCAACACCACAGATTATATTATATCTCTTGGTCCAGCTTAGTGTTTTATCTTCTATTTTCCAGCCGATTATCTCATCATTACAGTACAAGAACGTGTCTAAGCTTCTGTGCTGCATGTACTCGTAAACTAAGAGAAGTTCACTTCCTTCATAACACCACCCAATCAATTCTACAAGATTCTTGTGATGAAGGCTACCAATGGTGGTGACCTCGGCGATCAAATTCTGCATTCCTTTCGGTGTATCTTTGACCCTTTTAACTGCGACAAACTGTCCCTCCAAATTTCCTTTGTAGACTATGCCAAAGCCTCCTCTTCCTAGCTCATTTTTTCGGTTAAAATTCCCTGTAGCAGCCTTGAGATCCTTGAGCTTGAACTTCTTGGGACCAACTCCTGTGAAGATCGGTAAATCATAACTACTCAATGGCCTTTGTTTTCTTTTGTAGCAGAAGTAACCAGCAGCAACACCAATTCCACATAATGAGACCAAAATGCTCACAGCAACCACAATATAAACCCACCTTGGAAACTTTGATTCTTTGCCTAGTTCATCAAAGGTGAAATACCATTCTAGAATGCAGTTACGTTCAATTGCTACTGGTCCGGTTGAGGCAGAAAACCCGACATACACCATTTCAGGAAGATACTGAGAAAGATCAAGGTTCGGAATAGACAGAATAGGAGCTTTTGTGCCTACTTTCTTCCCTCGAAAAACAGATATATTCATAGTTTTTGTATCACCATCATAAACAATCATCGCGGTAATATTAGTACTAGTACCATTTGAAATAACAAGACCTGAATTGTTCAATGAAGTTTGATGCTTGGAATTTATGCTGTTGATGTTGAAACCAACATGGTTGTTATCAAGGTCTTCTGCAAAGCTCTTCTTGGTGTCAAACTCCACCGCGACTATGCTAGCTTGAGAGGTTCCATTGGTCGTGGCATTAACTATCCCAAGCCATTGACCCATGCTATTATTTGGAACCTTGCTGTCTTGACTCAAGATGAAAGCTAGCCCTTCACCAGGAGGACCAGAATAAGGCGATACATTAAGAACAAAAGTCGAATTGAAAGATGCCAGTCTTCCTTTCTTCCACAGCCTGATGGGATTATTATGCACGATTCTTCCATAACGATTTTTGATTTGTTCGGTATTACCAATGTCCATTGTAACTTGGAGGGCGTCATGGACTATGTATGCTTCCCCTGTTATAATTAAATCTCTTTCAATTCCTCGCGGAAAGTTTGGATAGTTGAAGCACCATCCTTGGCTAACTGCAGCAACAAATATCAGCAATACCAGCAGCAGAAACTTGCTACTGCTACTGCAATGAAAAGCCAGGACTGCTTGCTGAATCTTCATGAAGATTTTTTTTTTTTTTGGTGAAATCGATAACACAATCAGGGTATATGGTAAAAGTTCTGTTAATTAAGGTACAAGATAAAGAGAATCATTCATGATTAGTTATCGACTTAGCTTGTTTTTAATTTATTTCCTTTTAGATTTGGTTGAATCAGTAACTGGTCTGCATGATCAGTTATCTCTACTGAGTCTTGATTCTGCATTATTTTATACATTTTTCTGTTCTGCATTCCTAAGGAAAGTTTGTGAGAGAGAATGTTCTAGCTGATTGGTTCTACTTTCAGAGCAAATTTAGTGCATTTTTAATTACTAATTCATCAACTTCGATTCAGCAGCTTTTAGATGCTGAGATCAGACATGTTCATATATTCAACATTGCTAAAATACTAGCTCATATTGCAGACCAGAGAATATTGACTGTCTGCCTGTCTTAGGGTAGTGCTTAGAATGTTATATTCTTAATTCTTCTATAAGAAAGTTTTTTCGAAAGTGATTGTATAGTTAAGCTCACTATCTCAGGAGGGTGTGCTTGAATTGTTGGACTTGAGAGCTACATAGCATCATTTTAGGTACATTTACTTGGGGAAAACTATCCTTAGGTTATACATGTGTCGATTTTTACGATTTTATACACGTGACAGATAAAATCTGTTGTACACAATAGTGTATTGTACACCCAAGACTATTTTGTCGCTCACTTGGCAAAGCTTCATACGAGTGTGGATGTATTTTGTGCATTATACACCCAGATTCATGCTAATAGGCCAGCATGATTTATCTTGAAACAACCATTGACTCGATTTATGTACTTCAATTCCACTTTCTGATCTTTACTGAGTCCTCTGCATTAGTTTATATATGTTTCTGATCTGGAAAATATTCTGGAAGAATATTCTGGTTAATTAATATCCTACATTCTATGCATTTTTAGTTCACTTCATCTATAATCTGAATTAGATATTCTGATTTCAAAATAAAGCCGCTAATTTTGACTATTATTATACTCTGAGGATACAAATCTATCTAATACATATTGCTGAATAGTGAAAGATAACAATTTCTTTTGGACTTTTAAATTGATCATGTACATCAAAAAAAAAAAACAAAAAAAAAAACAAAAAAAAAAAGGTAACAATTTCTTTTGGACTTTTGAATTGATCATGTACATGAAGGACTCTTCCTGAAATGTTTCTTCTTTGCCATTCTCGGCTAATTACAACTACAGACAGCAACGAACTTGGGACCTGTTCACATTTATTGAACTGAGCTGAATAAAACTGAACTGATCTGATTGGAGCTGATCTGAACTGAACTAAATTGAATTGAGCTAAAATGAATATTTTATGAGAGAGGGAAATTAGGAGCTTGTAGACACCCATTTGTGTCTCCCCAAAACCAAACCCAGTGATGAGTACCTTTCACGTCGAATCATAATCGAATGAAGCGAAAGTGTGGAAAGTCTAGCGTTGCGGATAGTTTTTAATTTCTTTTCTCTTCTCTCTGTTTTTGAAAACTTATTTTAAGAAAACAACCAATCCAGTTTGGTTGGTCCATGATATGGGTCCAATAGTAGTGTAGTTGGATAGGGCTTGACAAGACCTTTCCAACGATATATTATAAGTCCAATTCCGATGAATATTGAGGAAGTTATGACCAATTTACCAAACTGGGCCCGGTTTGAACCTTATATACGGCCCAATGATCTAGGGGAGGGCCTAATATGATTTATCATTCCTAATGCAATTAGGAACGGTTTTAGTCTTCTAGATTCTTCTAGAAGGTTCTTTTCATTCCTAATTCAATTAGCATTGATAAATTGACTTTTGTTGACTTTTCAGAGTTTTAATTAAAATCAAAAAGCATTTTCGAGAAAAGATATGATTTTATCCTCCAGTACGGCAAACTTATCTGATTTTCGAAAACACGTCAAAAACAGGCCTGGCGCCTGACTCCAGGCATTGGCGCCTGGAACCAGGCCTGGCGCCTGGTGCTAGACATTGGCGCCAATTAGCTGGTGCTGGCGCCAGCTCTGTTTTGCGTGCGCCAATCTCGTTTTGCGTGCGCCAAGTGCTCTGTTTTAATATTTTATCTTTTTGGCTGATTTTCTCTATAAATAACGTATTAAAAACTCCGTTTTCATTAACCAGTTCTCACGAATATTCACTTACAATCAGTTTTCATTCATCATCAATTCTCTCTAATTCTCTTCTATAATCATCAATTTTTTCTTTCTTTCTAAACCTTGCTTTCACATACAAAATTCCGCATTCACAAGATCTAGAAACACCTAGCCATATTCGAAGTTGCCTTCGCCCTAGACGTGAAAGGTTTTAATTTCTGAGGGTTTGGTCCCAAATCTCTATTTCAATTATTTAATTTAATTGTTTGTTTTATTATTTTCCTTGAAGTTACTAACGTGTGTATTTTGTAATTAGAAAGGGGTACGAGGCATCAAAGTAAGTACTTTAATTGATTTATTGATATTATGATGTAGAAATCATGTTTAAATTGTTATTATGATATTCCTAGTATCATGTCTAAGGTAATTTTAATATTAAATATGATTGTTATGATGCTTCCTATGTTCTTCCTAATATTTATGATTGCTAGTATCATGTTAGGGTTAAAGATTTGATCTTTATTGCTTAGTGACATGCTAGGGTTTGTTATTAATCTTGTTAGTATCATGCCTAGGATCTTGCTATTATTATGCTTTAATATTAACATTAATATGATTATGATTATAATTGTTATAATTTATGATGATTATGAACATTATTATTATTATTATTATTATTTTGATGATTATAATTTTATTGTCATAATATTAATTTATTATGTTGCTTGATGATATTTGATTGTTATTGCTTGATCACGCCTTTTATGCATGTTTAAAGGGAATTGGTACTTGTGATCACGCTTAATAAGATAATTAACAATCTTGTTAGGGTTAATGTGATTATATTTCAAGTGATCGCCAATAATAGATTTATTTGTGCATTAATATTCAACCAATATAGATAAACATGTTTAGGGTTAATCCTATTGATTGCATGTTAGTCAGAAAGCGTACATGACTACGATCAGAACAAAGTAGAGGCCTATTATTAGGGCAGGTTCAATCTCTTTTATGTTGGATTTGTACCTTCATCCCCGAACCCTTATTTGGTTCAAGACCTTATGGAGTTGACGATCTCCTGGATCGTTAAGGGGTGTAACCTTCACCTCGTGAACGGTTTACAAGTTCCTAAAACTTGTTGGCGACTCTTTTGCTCTATCTTCTTCCCTTTTGGACGCCACCGTACTTTAGTGTATGATCACAGTGGGGTTCAAGTTAGGGGTTTAACGCTTGAAATTATTCCCCACAGAGCTGAACTGAACTGAACTGATTGGGATTGAATAGAACTGAACTGAAATTAAGTAAATGTGAACAGACCCTTAACAGAAGAAAATTGGTAATGCGAATACCATTAAATAAAGTCTAGACTACTAGACTAGTAGTAATAGAGTGACATTAGGGATAATCTTGTACTTATTCTATAGTTAGGTACTTATCCTTATCTTGTACCTAGGTGTAAACTCTAATTGTTTATTATATTAATAGTGTCGGGCTCTCGTATTGATCAGGTTAGTCGTATCATTTTCTTCACATGGTAGCAGAGCCACCTAATCTTAAAACCCTTAAACTGTCGAGCGTAATTTTGTGATTCTCCTTCATGGCTATATTCACTAAGATTTTCGATCTTGTTAAAATCCATTACTCAGCCAAGGTGCAAGGCAAAGAATTAACTAATAGAAGAAATTTTTGATAACATGTTAAATAAAAAAAAAAAGTGAACACAAATGTTCTTGATGAATTTTTCATAGCTTTATTAGCTAGGTTGAACAGGAAATTAGTCAGCAATATTAAATTGGTCAGCCCCCAATAACCATATTGAGCATCTTTGAATATACTAAGAGGTTTTATTCATCTGCAAACCAATGACAATCTTTGGAAAAACAAGCTTGTTTTTACTTGGAATTTGCACATAAACTTGTATGTACAATGTACTTGAAAGATTCAAAAAATCAACATTTAAAATTACGTATTGTTAGGATATTTATACACGTAAAGAACGAAACGGTATTTTCAATGTATTAGGTCTTATGTATATTTATCTATATATACATCGCCAAGGCTTTGTATTGAGGGTGGGTCAAACACTCATACATGGTATCAAGAGCTCTAGGATTCAAAAAAGAAAAACAAATAGAAATCATTTTTGAGATTCCATTTTTTAATTTTTCCCCAAATCATTTTTTTTTTCTTCTGTGTATAACTTTTTTTTACACAAATATGTTTATATCAGTCTTGTTCTTATTACAACTTATACCACGGAGTACGAACATATTAGTGGGTGTGGGTTGATATCCACACTCATTGCCCTAATGGCTTTCTCTACACTAAAAACAATTAAAAGGAAGCACAATTTTTAATGAGAAGAGAAATGTATATGATGAATAAAGACGATATAGCGATAAATACTAGTCAATTAAGGACCATTAAAAAAAATACTAGATTAAAGAAACGTTACAATTTCAAATTTCCAAGGTTAAAGTGTTGCGATTAAAAGAGAATATTGGAGAAAATACACAGTATAATTTAGTCTTATCTTGAATGAGCTAACCTCCAAATATTAATAAATCAAGAACCTAAAGGTTAAGATGTAGCCATCACATAGAAAAAAGGCAAATTTAAAATTTTCCTCCCATCTATTTCCATGAAACTTCCTAATCAATCACAACATGAAGTATTGCCTCATGGGAAATATAATAAGAATTTTGTAATTTTTGTTATGTTTTTTTTAATTTTTTCAAATCCATTATTGGATAATCTATGTCAAATTTAATGAATTCTGACTATTGTGTTTTACTACTCCATAAATATTGATTACTACAATACTACAGAGTACATTTTTTTTTTTTTTTTGAAAGAAGGAGTACATATTATTATAATACTAGTAGCTATAATGTGAGATTTATTGTTTATTTATTTAAATTTTTAACAGGAATTACGTAAGGTTTAACTTTGTTGGTTCGTTTTCTACATACGTGGTACTTTTGTCATTTAGACCAAATATCTATAAGAAGCAAAATAAAATTAACTCGCTATACGTGAAAGACGTGTCTATACAGTGTAATATAAAAATCAATCTTTCTATGCATATGCAAAGAAAAGCAAAATAAAATACATACACACACTACGTTATATTACCAACTCATCTACAAAACTAGACTTTTCATCAATTGCTAAATCATGTTTGACATTTTACCCATTTCTTGATTTATAATATAGAGAATTAATCCATAAAATGCACGAGATGACAAAGACATGAACATTGAATCCTTTATAAAATAAAACAAACATAGATGTTAAAATATACATTAACCATTTCTAATTTTCTATATATACTTTTTATAATTCATTTCTATGCACTTTGCAAATTCATAGTGTAAAAAAAAATGAAAATGTTACATAATATCATCAAAATTCTTCTTGTTACACTTCTATACCTTGCTACACTTGATCAAGTATGGTGTTTCGATTTTAATTATACAACTTTCCCTGATTGGAACGACGGAGACTTCATCAGGTCTGGTGATTCCTACTTATATTCAGGTGCCATACAAGTAACAAGGGACACTATTGGAGCAATTGCAACTCTTTTCAATCATAGTGGAAAAATCGTACACAGACGAGCTTTTAGGCTATATAACAAACAAAGAAATGCATCTTTCAGCACACAATTTGTGCTCAATATACAAACAATACAAAATGGTGGTGGTGAAGGGCTAGCATTTATTTTGGCTAAGGATTCCGAGGTTCAGGTTGACAGCCAAGGGCAGTGGCTAGGAATTGTCAATGCTAACACAAATGGTACTACTGAGGGCAACATTGTGGCAGTCGAGTTTGACACGAAAAAGAGCTTTCCAGGAGATTTGGATGATAACCATGTTGGTCTGAACATTAATAGTGTGTATTCTGAGCAGCAGGTTTCACTGTATGGACGAGGTATCAAAGTTGCAGATGCAAAGGATGTTACTGCTGTCATCAGCTATGATGGTGTGACGAAAGTTATTAATGTGTCTGTAAAGGGAGATAATCAAACAGAGTTTTCGCGGTTAATGAGTGTTCCTATTGATCTGTCCCTGCATCTTCCTGAGAAAGTTTATGTGGGATTTTCAGGTTCGACAGGAACAGGAGTGGAGCTTAACTGTGTGAAATCATGGTCCTTTTATGGAGATGACATAGATGAAGAAAAGCAAATATGGGTCTGGATTTTGATTTCTGTCGTAATTGTTGTATTCGTTTCGTGTGATATTGTAGTTGGGTGTTTATATAGAAGACATAGAAGGAAGCAAAAACAAGTGGATTATGATGATGGTGGGCTCTCTATGCAGAGCATTGAGACGGGTTTAGGTCCGAAGAAGTTCAGGCTCAAGGATTTAAAGGGTGCTACTGGTAATTTTAGTCCCAAGAATGAGCTTGGAAGAGGAGGATTTGGGGTGGTTTACAAGGGAAAGTTGGATATGAAAGAAGTGGCTGTCAAAAGAATCATCAATACGCGTCAAGGGAAGCAAAATCTGATAGCTGAAGTCACAACAATTGGTAGTCTTCACCACAAGAATCTAGTGGAGTTGATAGGGTGGTGTTTTGAGAAACACGAGTTTTTGTTGGTGTATGAGTATATATGCCTAATGGAAGCCTTGATAAGTTTATTTGCTCTGATGATGAAAATATGACATTAAGTTGGGAAAGAAGGCATGTCATCATTTGTGGTGTGGCTCAATCTTTGGATTATCTTCACCATGAGTGCTCGAAGTGGGTTCTACACCGTGATATTAAAACTAGCAATATAATGCTGGATTCAGAATTTAATGCTCGCTTAGGAGATTTTGGGCTTGCTAGGATGTTTAAAGTAGGTGAGCAGACACACCATTCGACGAAAGAACTTATGGGAACACCAGGTTACATGGCACCAGAGATTTTTCTCATGGGACATTCTACTGCAGAAACTGATGTTTATGCATTTGGTGTTTTGGTTCTAGTGGTGATCAGTGGGCGAATGCCAGGGAAACAAAATGATGACAAGAATTTAGTCGATTGGGTGTGGAACTTTACAAGTCCGGTATGATTCTTAGTGCTATTGATCCAAGATTGAAGGATGAGTTTGATATTGGGCAGGCTGAGTGCATGCTTTTACTGGGTTTAGCTTGCTGTCATCCAAACCCTTATACAAGACCTTCCATGAGAAACGCGCTTCAAGTTTTGATGGGGGAGGCACTTCCACCATCAGTTTCCATTGAGAAGCCTGTCTTCATGTGGCCTGCAACAATTGATATAACATCCTTTGATCACTTGGAGGATTCTCGTGGAGGAGAGAACATGTTGGAAGAAATTTATTCAGATCTTGTTGTAAGATAGCATAGTCATACTGTAACTTACAATAACTTTAGCTTGTTGATTATCATAATCAACACTTACAGTATGCTTTGAATTTGATTCTTTTTTTAATTAAATCAAGCATACCTTAATTATATTCATATACTCATGTGTATCTGTTGAATATCATGTAGATCTTCAGCCTAATATTGTTTAAAATGGCAAAGGATAGTAAGCCACTTTGCCCTGAGCTTGTTATGCAGATGTTTCGTACTTTGATTTCATCTATTGTTTACTGTCATTCTATGCATTTTAGTGCAAATAATCTGATTGTTTTATCCTACTTAGCTTTTTGGCTTGGTTTACAAGAGGACTCTTATGTACAAAGCAAAGCAGACACAAAATTTTAACTGCATATCTAGTTTCTGACTTAAATTTTCTATCAAAAGAAGCATGAGTCCTTGAAGCTGCTCGAATGACCTTAGACATACTGAGTTCCACATTGAATTAGCTAAGTTTTAAACTGTCTGTATATAATAGGCAAAGATAGGGTATCCAAACTATATAATTATTTGAGTTGTATACTGAATTTCTTCTGATATTCTCACAATTACTCTATATTTTCGTGTCAGTTTGTTAATTACTGCAGCCTATATTGACTGTTTTCCATCATTTGTGATAGAAAGTCAAGCCGTAATAATAAATCTAAAGGATGTATGCATACTAATGTATACTAGTAAAATTTTAGTTGAACAAGCAACACCATCAGATACTGCTTTGCATTTTCCTATGCAATTTCTGAATTTCCCAAACAGCTTGTTTTTTCTAATCAGCACATTTTAAACAATATTCTGACCTATCAAGCTCAAGTGCACGTATCATGCTGTTTGATAATCTCTTTGACCATTCAGAAAAAAATTAAAAAAAACGTAGTTGATGACTTTTGCTGTAAATGAATTATTTGACTGAGATAAGTAGTCTTCAAGGATTGATACATTCAATATTTTCATTCATAAAAATATTAATCTCCTTTTCATACGCGGTTATCAACCAATGTGGCCAAATCCTACTAGGGAACAGGCAGAGTGGCACTGTTTATTCGTTGAGGTTGTCAATCAGTAATTTCTGACAGTCTGTTCTGAGCAAGAAAAATATTCTGTTATCTTAATGGACTGTCCTCTACTGAAAAACTACCTTTAGAGATGTCACGTACCTTGATCATTTTGGATTCTGTGAGTGCAAGCAGTGTGTTCATTATACTTCTACTTGTCACAGCAACAGCTAGCCAGGTACGCTGCTTGAACATCAACTACAGAAGCTTCCCTGAAAATGTTAGAAACAATTTTATTTTCGAAGGTCAATCCAACATGATCCAAAATATTCTACAAGTAACCAATGGCCTTCCTGGAAACCTGTCAGCTAATCTGCAAGGAAGAATCTTATACAAAAATAGACTGAAGTTATGGAGAAAAAGTCACCGAGTCTCTTCTTTCAACACAAGATTTGTATTGGCAATCGCCCCTCAGTCTAATCCTCCTGGTGAAGGTCTCGCGTTTATTCTAACTAGGGACCCTCAGGTTCCAGAAAATAGCTATGGCCAGTGGTTGGGAATAACAAATGCTGGTAAAGATGGTTCCCCTGGAAATAAAATAGTCGCGTTTGAATTTGATACAAGAAAGAGCTTCAGAGAAGATGTTGATGATAATCATTTTGGTGTAAACATCAATAGCATAAAATCTAACAGGACGACTTCACTGACCCAATTTGGAGTTAATCTTTCGAGTCTTAATCCTGTCACTGCTACAATTGACTATGATGGCACCAAGAAAATGGTGAATGTAAGAGTTTCGATGAACAAAAGAGGAGAAAACTCTGAATTCCCAATCCTTTCCATGCCTCTTGATCTATCTACACACCTTTCGGAAGATGTTTATGTTGGATTCTCTGCCTCAACTGGAACAGGTATTCAACTGAACTGCATAACAGAATGGTACTTCTCCAGCAGTGACATTGAGAAATATAATGCAACCAACTTTTATGTTGCTATCCTGATTCCGCTTATATCTGTAATTTGTATGGGTAGTCTAGCATGTTGCATTTACTGGAGAATGAAATGGAAAAGGAAATGTACAAAGGATAAGGATGGGATCTTAGATGTAGAGACTCAATGTTCAATGTTGAGTCCTAAGAAATACCGGTTTAAGGAGCTCAAAGTTGCAACTAGTAATTTCAATTCTAAAATGAGCTTGGTAGAGGAGGATTTGGCATAGTATACAAGGGAGTGTTGAATGGTAAAGAGGCGGCTGTCAAAAGAATCACAAGGTCTACAAAGCAAGGAAAGAAAAATTTGATTGCGGAGGTAACCACTATTGGTGGCATCCACCATAAGAATCTTGTGGATTTGATGGGATGGTGTTATGAAAACACTGAGCTCTTGCTTGTTTATGAGTTCATGCCAAATAAGAGCTTGGACATGCTCATATTTTGTGATGATCCAAACCCGAAAGTAGGGGGGTCAATGACACTGAATTGGGGAAGAAGGCATACTATCATATGTGGTGTGGCTCAGGCTATTGACTATCTTCATCATGAATGTTCAAAAAGGGTGTTACACCGAGACATAAAAACCAGCAATGTGCTTTTGGATGCAGAGCTTAATGCTCGTTTAGGGGACTTTGGCCTTGCTCGAACCTTCAAATTAGGGGAAAAAACTCACCACACTAGCAAAGATATCTCAGGAACACCAGGGTATATGGCTCCTGAAATTTTTCTGACAGGGAGATCAACAACTGAGACTGATGTTTATGCCTTTGGTGTTCTGATGCTGGAGGTAGCCTGTGGAAAAAAGTTGGATATTCAGACAAAAGACGATGAATTTAGAGTAAGCATCATTGACTGGGTTTGGGAATTTCACAAACACGGAATTCTTACTGATGCTATTGATCCCAAGTTGAATAACCAATATGACAAGAAACAAGCTGAGTGCATGCTGGCCTTGGGATTGGCCTGTTGCCACCCAAACCCGTATATAAGGCCATCCATGAGAATTACATCACAGGTCCTCTCAGGAGAAGTAGTTCCCCCGGATGTCCCCTTGGAGAAGCCTGCCTTTATGTGGCCAGCTAATGCACCCAGTACTTATCGAACACTGGATCATTGTTCCACTGGTGGCATAATGAGTTCATCTACTGATATAAGTGGGAGATAAATACAGTGGCCAATATGCTTTATTCATGAACTGCTACAAGTACGAGTAAACTACAAATTATAGTGTATTATTGTATATAGTATCTTTAAATTATGTTTCTCTATATTATCTTGAAAGGAACAACAATAATTTTTTTGTTGTGAGCTCATTTGTCTATTGCCCTGGAAAATAATTGCATCCTACATGTTTGAAAATCTTCTGGAAGATAATCAAATCAATGAAGAATTTGACTGAATGAATATCAGATAAAAGGTTGATACTCTAAATGAGAATGTCAGCAAACAACAGACAAAAATTTTGCAAGTACAATGAACGAGTCTGACCTGACACAAGAACACAGCTACTGCAGAGAAAGAAAAAGAGTGTTCCGCTTAAATTAAAAGTGCATATTACAGCATGATAGCCTTTACAAACTCACCAGTATGAAAGAATACATTCAGGTGAACTAAAAGAGAAATAGGGGAAAGAGCAGATATCTCTCAATGATTTACAAACAAATAATTTTCGGTATGAAATTCCTTATTGTTATGATAGCTATGTAAGTAGCTAGTAGCCACATCTACGCAAATGGTGCGCCGTGTGCACAATGCTCATAGTGCAATCACTATCTATATTCTTTGGGTTTGAACTACATAATCTTGTAAGTTTGACATGTATGTTCTTTTATTCTTTCATTATGATATATCATATATGTTCTTTACAAAACCAGATTAGTTGGGTTTGAATATTTTTACTAAACTAAAGTAAAACACTAATTCCTTACAAAACTCGTATGGGGGACACTCCACTAAAACACTACAATTTTTTTATTAGAAGTATAACCTAACAATATAATCACCAAAAGAGCTGTTAAATAATTTGGTCAATATTCAATAAAGCTAAATTTTTTGACAGGAATGGTCCTTCTTGGACTGCAGCTACTTAAGTACGCAACTATAACCATTAACCATAACATATCCTACTAAAACAATTCAACCTATTTATTATTACACGTCCAAAAATATACCTATTTTTTTGACTAATTTGTTCATAAATTCTTATAGACTAGACTTGCATTGGTAACTGCAATTATTGCAGGAAATGACCAAGTCCTGAACTCATTCGTCGCAATAAAACATAACATATTGGCTCCTTATAAGATAAAACCATAGATTTAAAACAAACAATCTTCACATCCATAGTTGTGATGTACAAAACTCGAGTTTGTAGTGAAAATGATCCACAATATCATGGATTTCCTTTTTCTTATAATTCTAGCCCTGAATACACTTGATCAAGTAGGGTGTTACACATCAAGCTATACAACTTTCAATAATTCGGTTGGAGATGATTTCATCACGCCGAATGATAACTCTGTCATACTTAAAAATGCTATACAAGTTACCAGGGATGTTAGTGGCTCTGTCTTCAACCTCTCGGGGAAGGTCTTATACAAACGACCGTTTGATTTATGGAGCAAAAGTGGAAGAATTGCATCTTTCAACTCAACATTTGTTGTCAACATCGAAACAAGAAACGACATTGGCCTTACAGGCCAACATGGTGGTGAAGGGCTAGCATTCATCTTAGCCAAAGACGCGGAACTCCCAACCAACAGTGAGGGCCAGTGGCTAGGAATTGTCAATGCAAGTACGAATGGATCATTCCAGAGCAACATTGTTGCTATCGAGTTAGACACGAAAAAGAGCTTTGCTGAAGATTTGGATGATAACCATGTTGGTTTGGACATTAACAGTGTATATTCTAAGTCACAAGTTTCACTCAGCAGGTTGGGTATCAGAATTTCTGAAGGTAAGGATATTACAGTTAGGATCAACTATGATGGTGTAACGAAAGTGATGAAAGTGTCTGTCAAGGCGGAAAATCAAACTGAGTTTTCTCGAATAATGAGTGTGCCTATTGATCTTGCCCTGCATCTTTCTAGAACAGTTTATGTCGGATTTTTAGGTTCAACAGGTACAGGTTCTGAGAACAATTGTGTAAAATCATGGTTTTTCAATGCAGATGATATAGACCGAACAAAGCGGTTGTGGGTATGGATTGTGATTCCTGTCATTATTGTGGTGCTCTTATTATGCAGTACTGTAGGTTGGTGTCTGTACGTGACACAGAGAAGAAAAGAGAATCAAGCGAGGGATGATGATGATCTCGATATGCAGAACATTGAGACGGGTTTAGGTCCGAAGAAATTCAGACTGAAGGAACTCAAGGGTGCTACTGGTAATTTCAGTCCGAAGAATGAGCTTGGAAGAGGAGGATTTGGGATAGTTTACAAGGGTATGTTGGATATAAAGGATGTGGCGGTTAAAAGAATCATCAATACTAGTCAAGGGAAGCAAAATCTGATAGCAGAAGTCACAACAATTGGCAGTCTTCATCATAAGAATCTAGTAGAGTTGATAGGGTGGTGTTATGAGAAAAACGAGTTCTTGTTAGTGTATGAGTATATGCCTAATGGAAGCCTAGATCAATTCATACGTTCTGACGATGAAAATATGATCTTAGGTTGGGAGATAAGGCATAATATCATTTGTGGTGTGGCGCTATCTTTGGATTATCTTCATCATGAGTGCTCAAAGAGGGTTCTACACCGAGACATAAAGTCTAGCAACATAATGCTGGATTCAGAATTCAATGCTCGATTAGGAGATTTTGGCCTTGCTCGGACCTTCAAATTAAGTGAAAAAACTCACCATACTAGCAAGGATATCTCAGGAACACCAGGCTATATGGCTCCTGAAATTTTTCTGACAGGAAGATCAACAACTGAGACTGATGTTTACGCCTTTGGTGTTGTGATGCTGGAGGTAGTTTGTGGAAGAAGGTTGGATATTCTAACAAAAGACGATGAAATTAGAGTAAATATCATTGATTGGGTTTGGGAATTTCACAAACATGGAGTCCTTACTGATGCTATTGATCCCAAGTTGAAGGGCCAATTCGACAAGATACAAGCTGAGTGCATGCTCGCCTTGGGGTTGGCTTGCTGCCACCCAAACCCGTATATAAGGCCATCCATGAGAATTACATTACAGGTCTTCTGGGGAGAAGTAGCTCCCCCTGATGTCCCCTTGGAGAAGCCTGCCTTTATGTGGCCAGCTAATGCACTCTGTAGTTACCGAGAAAATGATCTTTGTTTTACTGGTGGCATAATGAGCACATAATCACGAGTGAACTGGAAAATATAATATCTTTAAATTCTGTTTCTTTGTATTAATTTAGCTGTAAGCTCATTTGTATTTTGCCTTGGAAAGTAGTTGTATCCTTATATCCTACATGTTCTTAAATCTCCTAGAAGATAATTAAACATACAAGAAAGTTGAAGAATTTGGCAAAAAACATACTTGTATCAGATGCTAGTAAAACTTCATACTCTTAGTAGTGAAGTGAAAATATGTCAGCATACAACATACAAATTTTGCAAATTCAGAGAACGAGCCGGACCTAAATGCTAAAATAGAGAGAAAATAGAAGTGGATGACTTAGCTTTTCATTGATGGCTTCTACCTCTATATATAAAATACAAGTTAACCCTAATATGATAGGATTAGGAAACTAGGAAAATAAGGAAAAGATATCAAAAAGATATTCACCAGCCTCAAGAGATACTAACGAAATATTTCCTAAAAAATATCCTAATATATTCTCAATACCCCCCCTCAAGTTGGAGCATGAGGATTGTAAATGCCCAACTTGGAAAGAAGATGATCAAAGTATCAAACTAAGACTTCCCAAGCACCTTATTAAAAATATCTGCAAGTTGCTCCTTAGTTGAAACATAGGAAGGAGCAATTAACCCCTCCGTAATAGCATCTCGAACAATGTGACAATCAATCTCAATGTGTTTTGTTCGTTCATGAAAAAACTGGATTTCGAGCTATATGTAAAGCAGATTGATTATCACAAAACAACTTTATCGCCTTAGGGTGTTAAACACCCAAACTCAAAAGCAAAGCCTTCAACCATTTCAACTCATGTGTGGTTGAAGCCATGCAACGATACTCAGCCTCAGAAGAAGAAAAAGAAACCGTGGGTTGCTTTTTGATCTTCCACGAAATAGGAGATTTACCAAGAAACACTAGCCAACCAGTCAACGAACGACGAGTAAGAGGACACGCCGCCCAATCGGAATCACACCAACCTTGCAAAGTCAGGTCACTGTCTGCACTCAACAAGATACCCTGTCCCGGGGTACCCTTTAAATAACGAACTACCCTCAGAGCCGCCTCCCAGTGCTCAATGCGAGGTTCTTGCATATATTGCGAGAGAATATGAACAGAATACGCCAAATTTGGTCTAGTAACCAATAGATAAATTAACCGTCCTACCAGTCTGCGATAAGACTCAGGATTAGCAAGTAACTCACCACTAGCAAGGCTAAGCTTATGATTTTGCTCAATCGGAAAGCCGCTTGGCTTTGCCCCTAGCAACCCTGCTTCTGAAATAATATCCAAAGTATATTTGCGTTGACACAAAAACAATCCAGATTTACTACGAGCTACCTCAATGCCCAAAAAATACTTCAAAGGACCAGGATCCTTCATCTTGAAACAATCACCAAGATAAGCCTGGAACACAGTTAATGCAGTGAAATCATTCCCAGAAATAATAAGATCATCAACATAAACTAAGACATTAATTTGAACATTGCCTTTAGTGTATGTGAAAAGAGAATAATCAGAGTAACATTGAATAAAACTGTACCCTTTTAGAGCCGTGGTGAGTTTTGCAAACCAACACCTTGGAGCCTGTTTCAACCCATACAGAGACTTTCTCAAATGACACACCAACCTCGGATCCGAGCTCTCAAAACCTGGAGGTAATTTCATGTACACCTCCTCTTCTAGATCACCATGTAAAAAAGCATTATGAACATCCATCTGATGAAGCTCCCAATTTTTAGAAGTGGCTATAGCGAGAAAAGCCCAAACTGTAGTCATTTTTGCAACTGGAGCGAAAGTCTCACTGTAATCTATACCTTCCTGCTGATGATTACCAAAAACAACCAAGCGAGACTTGAGACGTTCAACATCACCATTAGACAAAAATTTCGTCTTGTAAACCCATTGACTGCCTAGAGCCTTCTTACCGGGAGGAAGATACTCTAAAGTCCAAGTCCCATTGTCTTCGAAAGCCCTTATTTCTTCTTTCATAGAACGTTGCCATCCTTCAGATTTCATGGCTTCTTTAAATGATTCTGGATCCTTTCTCAAAACTACGGCAACAAGAAATTTGCGATAATTCACTGAAAACATGTCACAGTTTATGTAGTGTGCCAAGGGATACAGAGTACCTGAAGTCTGATTGGAAGTAGGAGACAGACTCTTAGCAACAACCGTGTGTGTAACAAAATCACGAAGCAAAACCGAGGGATATCTAAAACCACGCCCCAATTCACTGTCAACGTGAGGTGCTGCAAATTGCTCGGTGCGATGCTGCTGAGCAGTGGTAGAATCTGCTACCTGCTGTTTGTGCGGTGCTGCAGGGCAGTGGTAGAATCAGCCACCTGCTGCTCGGTGCGGCACTGCTTGGCAGTGGCAGAATCTGCCACCTGCTCGGTGTTCTGCTGCTGGGTAGTGGCAGAATCTGCCACCTGCTCTGTGCGGTGCTGCTGGGCAGTGGCTGCCTCAGCAAGCTGATGCTCTGTTTTATATTGCTGCTTCTCAGTACTCTGTTGGGCATTGGCAGTGGCAGGGGACTCCGCAACCCCCCTGCAGCCAATACTGTCATGTTGCGGGGTGGTTGCGGAGTGACAGCATCCCCCCCCCCCCTTTTTCCATAGTAAAAGTGTCGTCATAAATATTTGCACCATTATCATCGTAACCCAAATCACAAGCAGCAAAATCCACATGAATATCATCCTCCGTATCACCAAAATTTACATCAATCGGGGAACCAAACGGAAACATATCTTCAACAAATTTCACATCACGAGAGACAAAAAATTTCTTTGTTTCAAGATCAAATAATTTCCATCCCTTTTTCCCGAATGGATACCCCACAAAAACACATTTACGACTCCTACTAGCAAACTTATCCCTCTTCGTCTTTTGATTGTGTGCGAAACACAAACAACCAAAAGTACGAATAGCACCAAAAGAAGGAGGTTTATTGAAAAGAATTTCGAAAGGAGTTTTGTTTTGTAGAATAGGGGTAGGGGTGCGATTAATTAAATGAGCCGCAGCTAAAACACACTCACCCCAAAAATAAATAGGAAGATTGGCTTGGAATCTCAAGGCCCTACTAACATTAAGAATGTGTCTGTGTTTTCTCTCTACCCTCCCGTTTTGTTGAGGAGTCCCAACACAAGAGGTTTGAAAGAGAATACCAGTTGCAACAAAATAATCGTTCAAACAATTAGATTCAGTCTCATTATCACTCTGCACTATTTTAATTGTTTGATTAAATTGTCTATCAACCATAGCAACAAAAGTCATAAACATCCGAAAAACCTCAGTTTTATCAAGCAGCAAATAGATCCAAACAGCACGAGAATAATCATCAACAATAGTCAAGAAATAACGAGCCCCACACGAAGAAACATGACGATATGGACCCCATAAATCACAATGTATTTTTTCAAAAATTCTAGATGCTTTATTGTCACTCAAAGGAAACTTGTCTCTAGAATGTTGAGCACGAAAACATATTTCACAACCTTTTGCTAAACTAGTGTTATTATTACTAATATGAGGAAGCAACTTAACTACCTTTTTAGAAGGGTGACCCATTCTTTTATGCCAAAGATCCAACTCAAAAGTCGCTCCAACCACTGACACACGTTGCACCACATCCGGCTTGCTAAGATAATATAGTTCGTCTTGCCTAAGACCCATGCCAATTAGCTCCTTCATTGGGTCTTGTATAGCACACATATGCGAGTTAAACTGTACAACAACTTTTAATTGGTCACTAAGTTGAGAGACAGAAATTAAATTGCAATTCAAATTTGGGACAATCAAAACCCCAGAGATAGTGATTTTATCAGACAAACAAACAGATCCGGCCAAAGTTGCGAGTACACTGTCACCATTGGGCAAACCAACAGGGCATTCAATGTTGTAAGAATCAAATAGCCAAGATTTATTTCCGGTGACATGATGAGTTGCACCAGTATCAATAATCCAACAAGTGTTATCAAATTTACCATTGAGACGAATTTCTGGGATTATTGTATTACCATGAAAATCGGCCATGGTTTAGTGTTGTAAAAAAATTAACCTGCTCTTGATACCATGCAAAAATAGAGAGAAAATAGAAGTGAATGACTTAGCTTTTCATTGATGTATGGCTTCAACCTCTATATATAAAATACAAGTTAACCCTAATATGATAGGATTAGGAAACTAGGAAAATAAGGAAAAGATATCAAAAAGATATTCACCAGCCTCAAGAAATACTAACAAAATATTTCCTAAAAAATATCCTAATATATTCTCAATACTAAACATGAACCCGGACACAGTAATGAGCACATAGACTGTACAATACGCAACTGCAGAAAAGAAAGGAGAGTGTAGTCTCCTTGTAAACATTCATATAAAATTATGATTATCTTAAAAAGTTGAACTCAGCTGTCATGAGCTCATGACTTCCGAAGACCTATTATCCTTCTTCCACGTCTATTAAAATAGGTGAACAAACACACCATTCGACGAAAGAGCTTAAGGGAACACCAGGTTACATGACATCAGGAAATCTTCTTATGGGACATTATTCGACTGCAAAAAAAAAAAAAAAAAACTGATATTTTTGCTTTGGGTTTTTTAGTTCATATACCCTGTTGGATAGTGGTGAGGTTTCTCCTTCAATTTGTGTGTTTAACAAGGCCAAAATGCCCTAAACGAGCATTAACATCTGCATCCAAAACCAAATAGTTGGTTCTAAAACCTTGTTCTTGAACATTTGTCACGAAAATAATCAATAGCCTAACTTTCTTAGCTTAATAGGCAGTTGTGTTGGATCATCACTAAATACGAGTTTGTTCAAGCTAATTTTGGAATAAATTCGTGAAAATACGTGTTCAGTGCTTGCATAACACCCTCCTACCTGTAATGGACATAGAATTTACTTCAGCAATTAAATTTTTTAAATCCCATTTTGTATTTAGAGAACTTCTGTAGTTGAAATTTCAGCAAACATGATAAGTTGTTGTGACAAAGTAATTGATAGATATTATATTTAAATAATATTTGTCGCAGATTAATTAGGATATATTAAATGTATATTAATCCTAGTTACGATAAACATACAAAATATACACTTAGGCCTCGTTTGGTTTAATGTAAAACATTTTCAATG